AAACTGCCCAGTTTCGATTCCCATCTAACCGGACGGTTAGCTGTTAGATTGCTCGGCTTTTCCAACAATGATCCAATCACTTTCAAGCTAAAAGATTTTACACTCATGGGAGTATGCTATCCGGTTGCTCTCATGGATAATAATCAACGGAAAATTGTTTCATGCAAGTTGGACCACATTTCTACAATATGCAGTCCAAAGGTATAAAGCATCAATCGATGGATGCAAATGAGTGGTCCATCTAAAAATAAATGTAATCAACTGTCTGAATGTTTTTTTAATATAATTATTATTTATAGTTTTCAATTTATTATTTTTTCATATTCATGATATGTAAAAATTAGGATCAAATTATATTTTAAAAATATATCTATTGCCAAGCCCGCATTTCTACAATATGCGAGCTGGCTGCATAGAAACCGTGTCTAGACTCAATATAGGAGCAATGTACCCCAAAATTTAGGGATGTAGCCGCTATAACCCATATGCATCTTAGTAATATAATAACACAATCATCAAATGACATGTTTGACCCTAATTTTTAAATATACACTTTTTTCATTCTAATGAATACTCATAAAAAATAAAATTTGAAAGTTAGAAAGTTTTTTCTTAGCTCAATTAACATAGGCCATTCATTTTGATAAGATGCTAAGATCTAGGCCTTATAAGGTTTTTTTTTTCCTTTCCAATTTATTTAGATGGCTTTATTATTATTAGATAAAAAGTGTTATAAAATTAATAGATAAATTTGAGTTTGTAAAGGCCTAGATATTGAAATACCAAACGAGTGGTCTAGAATTGTTGTTGGAGGGGATTCATTTTAACTATATCTAAGGTGCAAATTGAATTTTAATTTTTTGAAGATTTATTCTTAGGATGGAAAGATTGTGTGTGCAAAATTTGGGTCAAATTAAATGGCAAAAACATGTTTTTTCTAGAATTGTAGTTTCATTATATTATAATGGCAATAACATGATTTTTCTAGAAGTGTAGTTTTATTATATTATAATCGCACAATGACATGGTATAATTCTAAAAAATTCTCAAATTGATCATCTCGACCTCAATATGTATGAACATGAGAAAAAAAACGATTTCAAGTCTTAAAAGTAGTACATCCTGTAATATATTTATTGAACCGTCAATTTTCAAGATTTAAATTTTATAATTAGACATGAAAATAAATTTTCGGGCATAAAAAATATTTCTAGTATTGAAACAATATTTTTTGACAATATTTGAAGGGGAAATTGTTTCATGAGTCAATGGGACAAGAACCCGCTCACTAACAAAGGTCCATCCTAAAGGTAGATGTTATATAGTGGATTGTTCATAAATAAGTTATGGACGGTTCATACGAAAATACTAAAAAAGTTTACATTTTTTAAATTTAACAATTTATTTTCTTTTCATATTTATGATCATATTGGCTTATGATGAATTTTAAAAAAACAACAAAATCATTTCAAATGAACTTTTGTTGGGGTCTGTATATATACATATGAGTCGGCCGACTCATAGAAACCTCGTCAATTTGAAGGTGCGTCTTACTTTTAGTTGTTTAGGCCTAGGCCTCGGCCTTATACGAACCACACCCTTATATATAGATATATCTTTTAGGGTTTCTGTAAAGGTTACTGGAACATTACGTTTAGAGCTGCAATGGCGACAAGTGAAATTGCTTGTACGTACGCGGTTCTCTTGCTCCATGACGATGGAATTGCAATTACGGTAACAATCTCTGAAAACCCATCTGAGTTTTTCTTCATAATGTGTTCACCTTGCTCTGATCCATACTTTTAGCGTTCGGAACCAATCTCATGATTAATATACCATGATAAGTGTATCCTGATTTAGAGATTCTAAATGATTATAGGGTTTTACTTTAAATGTATCACTCCTAATCATATCTGAAAGCCGCATCTCTATTTTCTCTTCATTATTTGCGCATTTTCTGATTGTTTTGGTTCTAGGTTTTGGAACTAGTTGTATGGTAAATGTTATTTGGTTTAAGCAAATGATTTTTACGGTTTTGCTATAACCTGAGAACAAAGATGTGCTGGTCTAGGTTTGAAAATGATTCAAGATCTTGCAGTAATATCAGATTCTACTGGTTTAAGGCGTACAAATAATTACTGTATCATGTTTTATTGATTTGGGGCTAACAACTAATCTTCATGGCGTACAAATGGTTTTATAGTGTATATCCTTTCTCGATCATGAGTAATCCTTGTATTGATAGTGTGGAAAATAGTAGCAATCTCACCATAAAAATTGATCTATATGTATTGTTGAAATTTGTGTCTGGATTCGATATTGTTTTATCTCTGTGTTTGCATTGTCCACGCCTCTGGGGTGTGCTGATAATTTTTAGGGATGACAAATAGTTTCAATTTAATTTCCAGTCGTCATTGTCTTTGCTTTGCAGAGTCTTAGGGTTTTCTACAAAGACTAGAATGGATTCGTGATGATTAAATGTTTGCTAATGTCTCCTTGCATATGTACATGCTCTTATTGTGAAATACTTCCGTATGAAGGTTTTCAAAATAACATTGACATTGATTTTTGTGGTTTGCAAATAACATAACCTTTGATGAGTCCTCTATTCACTTGTACTCATTGATGGATGGTGATGATTTTCAGAAACCAGTGAGGATTTGTGTGCCTCAAGTCGATTTCCAAGCTGTTTTTAGCTTATACCATTTCTTTTGCTGTTCATGAAAATGATTTGAAAGAACTTTGGTTAGGATTTAATTAAGATTCGAAGAATGTTGAAGAATCAGTACATTTGTTCGTTTCATTTTGACAATCCATTTGGAGTTTCTTGACTGTCTCCATTTTCTTTTAATTTATATAATCATTTGTCCATTGGTTTATGTTTGTTGCATTGCTTTGCTGATCCCTTGTGCGCCAGCCCGAGAAAATTGCCGCTGTGGTGAAGGCGGCGAATATTCAGGTTGATTCATTTTGGCCCGGTCTCTTCTACAAGTTGGTCCAAAAGAGGAACATTGATGATCTCATTGTCAGTGCTGGATCGGGTTAGTAGAAAAAAACTCGAAACAGATCATTACTAAAGCAACAAAACTCCATAGATTTATATTCAAGCTTTATTGTTTTATCAGAACTGTGGAATCAAATGAGGGGTGGTGGTTAGGTGCATCCCTGGGAGCACCTATTCTAGTGTGCCCGCCCTTCTAATCCATCTTGGAGATGGACTGAGATTCAAAACATCGCAGGTCTTATCATCTCAACTACTCTGAGATTTTTTGAGCCTGAAAAAGGGTCCATCTTGTATGCCTGTTTTCTGCCCTGAATCATTTTAATTCTTTGAAGATGATCATATCCACACCATTGAAGCTGTACATTCATGTATTTGATGTGAAAAATGTATTTGCATTGATTTAGGATTTGTTTCCGATCTTAGTGGCCTGGTTTCATGGAAACCAGGGTGTAAGCATGAGTCAATGATATCATGAACTTTTTGATCAAATAAATCTGAGAAAATGTTTTGAAATATTCAAATTTTCACATATTTCTTGTGGTGCATGTTGAAGGTGGCGGTGGTGCTCCTGTAGCAGTTGCTGCTCCTGCACCTGCAGCAGCAGCTGGTGGAGCCGCTGCTGCTCCTGCAGCTGAAGAAAAGAAGGTAATATTTGTTGTGTTTTTAATCTCAGTTATAAATTTTATTACACTCAAACCCAAAATTAAAAAATGAAAAACATTGCTAATGTGGTTACATTGAAAGTTTTGAGATCTATACAAGATTTATTTGTTCATTGTCTTAACAGGAGGAGCCCAAGGAAGAAAGTGATGATGATATGGGTTTCAGCTTATTCGATTAAATTTCGGATTCACAGGTCACTGGTTTTGCTCTGTAGGGAGAAACTCCAATTTTTCTTTTTTGGATTCATTTTGCGGCATGCCATCTAACGCACATTGATAGACTCTGTTGAGTTTGTGGCAAATAGTAACGGTCATTTTCTTGATTTTGGTTGTTTAGAAATTTGTGTTTCATCCTCAAGATTTAGATTTACTAATTTACTTCGAAACAGAATTGATGTTCACCATGTAGGATTTAATTTTGATATTAATTTCAATATTCAGCAGAACTTGATTTTGATATTAAAGAGGGGAGAGGTTTTAAAAAATAGCCATCCAGATTGGAATCACATGATCTGGGGTGAAAATCGTCGGGGTGACCAATTCTTGCCAATTTCGGGAACCAGTCAGAAGTGGCCTTAATTTACCAATTTGGATCGCTGACTTGCCGAACCGAATTGGAAATCCGGATCAGTTATTGGTTTAACGATCCATGCTTTAAAAAATATCCGTAATTTGGTGTGGAAATAGCTTTGCAAGCAATCTTAAGAGTCCCTATTATCGGATGCGCTTTTTAGTTCACTTAAATTATAGAGCAAATAATATTATAGGCATTTTTGGGATGGTCATTTGTTAAATGGGTAGTCATTTGCCCGAAAGTAATTAAGAGCACCACCGTCATTTTTATGCGATTCAATTTTTTTTTCTTTTCCGAAGCCGCCTTCTTTTTTTGACAATTTTTTGGCAATTCAAATACCAGACAAGATGAGAGTTAGTTTTAAAAGTAAAAGAGCTCCGGACAGTGGGAGAGTTAATTGTAGTTGTTTGTTATCGAATATTTGAAATACCCGACAACGTCATAGTAAAAAATCAGGAGCATGGGTCGTCTCTCACTAACTTGCCATTGCCGAGAGAGAAATCGGTTTCATTCTTTTGGTAATCCAGAAGGATGGGAAGTTTTTCTTGAGATTTGTTCGAGAGATCGGGATGCTTCTTTTGTTGCGGTTTATTATCACGGGAATCACTTGTATATCCTGATTCTCATTTCATCCTCTTTGCGGTTTATAGATCACGGGGATCACTGCTACTTCTTGACTGCTAATAATGAAGTTTAGGCATTACACAGCCATTTCCATTCGCTTTTTAATTTTGCTGTAGTGAGATGCCAAAGTTTCTCCTTGGGTAAAGAGGTAACTAATGCTATATTTTTTGTTCAAATGGTTTGTTTGGTATTTCAAATATCAGATAACGAATAACAAAAATTTACTCTCTTCCAATCGAGTTCTTTTACTTTTAGAATTAGCTCTTTTCTAATTGAGTATTTGAAACGTCAGATAGTTTTTTTACTTTTAAAATTAGCTCTCTTATTTGACATTTAAATTGCCGGCTCTTCGAGAAGGGGGTGGTACTTGTAATTTCAGCCAAATGATTGCCCATTTGATAATTGACCACTCTCAAAAGTATCCGTATGTATTTTGCTTTAAATTATAAACTAATAAATTTGTTACTTGGATTTCTTATGTTTCCTACTCCCTGTCAAAATTCAAAAAATAAAAAGTAAAAAAACTAAAAATAAAAAATCCTGAGGTTAAATAGAGACTCCAATTTTTAGACAATAAGATCTTCTCCAGAACATGTGAAATTTAAGAATAATTGCATAGTGCCATTAACACCAAAAATGATTTTATGTAATTTTCTAGAAAAGGCCCAATGTCTTCAAATAGGAATTTAATGTTTTCACCTTTAATTTATGTTTGCTTATGCAATTTTTCTTTAATTATTGTTGAGTTTGCTTCAGCACTACTAAAGTTTGGACCCACGATTTTGGATCCAGATCTTCGATTTGGATGAGAATCTGTTGGAACAAACCAATTCTGAGATCATATATGCCCCCACTTCAACTTATCTTATATAATTTTTTAATTTTTTAAAGCTTATCAACAATTTTTAAAGTCACATCTAATTCCCTACTCTATAAACCTCTATTTTTTTTATTTGTTTTTTATTTTTTATACTTTTTAGAATACCAATTCATACCGATCTAAACCTGATCTAAATGGCCAATCCCACTATCCGAGATGAAGCTGCTGGTGAAACGCCATCCCACAAACCACGATATTTAACTATATGGAAAATCGTTTCATGCAGGCTTGACCGCATTTACATATGTGGTCCAAAAAAAAACTGTAAAGCATCCATCTTAAAGGTGGATGCAAGTAGATGTTCCATCTAAAAATAATTGAAACTAACGGTCCAAATATTTTTTTATTAAAATTATTATTTTTAATTTTTAAAATTTATTTATTTATTTATATTCTTGATCTACATGTTAGAGATTACATGTTTACTCAATGACGTCTTAAAATCAATCGCAAAAATAAATTTATCAAGAGGTCCGCATTTCTATAGGGTTGGGCTAATAGAAACCGCGTCCTTAACGCACTCCACATATAAATCGGGTGCAGTCGTACCCGCACTAATACAACGGATCCTATAATAATGTCATAGTTAAGCGCGCTTAGGATGGGCGAATGCTCCAAAGATCCACATGTAACGAGTTGGAGCCCCCAGATATACACGTGTACGCAATGCCTATGTGGATTGAAGTGGGAGAACCACGTGGCATTTGCTCCCGTTAAAAGCACACTGTAATGTTAGCCATGGCTGAAACATGCAATTCTCCCTCTCCCCAAAAACTTGAAAACAAAAAAGAAAATGAAGCATCTTTCCACCATCGCCAACTCTGTGCTCGAACAATGTTCAGTGTACTCTCTCTCTCTACTGTCTTACTGAATCATATAATGCCTCTCTCTCTACTGAATCATATAATGCCTCTCTCTACTCTCTCATTGAATCATATAATGGCTCTCTCTCTCTCTCTACTGTCTTTTCATATAATGCCTCTCTCTCTTCTACTCTCTCATTGAATCATATAATGCCTCTCTCTCTCTCTCTACTGTCTCTCTCTCAATCAATCGATCAATTTTCTCAAATTGGAAGTGTGAGTCTTCTAATTGAGGAACCGTGATCGTTTGAAATATTCTTCGACCTTTTTCTTTTTCCTTCCTTTTTTTTGAGAGTTTTTTTGTGTGTGTGTGCACGCGCATAAAAACTCATAAGAAACATATTCTCAGGATCATAGGAGTGCATTTAGAAGATCTCAATGAAGAGTTTGAGAGAGGTTATAAAGCAGGCGGAACAGATGACTGTTACTCGAGAAAATTTTTCGAATTTTGCAGCTCAAGGGCGCTATGTGCCATTTGCAGACGCATGGAATTCAATATATCTGAGAGCTCTTTTAGTCGGCTCACCTTCGATATGATGCTGGCTTGGGAGAACCCAAGCTCTTTGACTGAAGAATCTTATATGGTTCTTGCATATTCTTCTTTATCATACTTATTACAGCTTTTATTTGTTTCTCTTAAATAGTCTTATTTAGCATGTCTTAATTTTGGACAAAAATAAAAGTTTTGGGCCATTTTATTTTATGAAGTTTCTCTAAGAATCCAATTCTAGACTAGCAAAGCGCATCTTAAAAATCCACATGAAAGATTGTTCCAATGCTGGAAACCCTATCAAACTGGATTCCAAGTCCTAAAGATAGTGCATCTCTCAAATATTATCATAACCATTCATATTCAAGATTTTTAAGTGTTTATAGATCTGCTCAATTTGTACCATGTTAGAAGATTAAATTTTATAATTAGGGGCGGGAATGGTTTTTTAAGCTATGGTAGAGGTTGCTGGCGCCGGAACTGCATGTTCTGGTAGGGTTTGGAACGATTTTTAGTGGGAGGACATGTAAATTTGCTCAATTTCATTGTCCCTTGGCTATTGTCTGTGAGTGTAGAAAAACAATGGAATAGAATTAAAGAGGCTTTGCTAGGAATGATTGTGGCTCGAGTCTCTTTTGGGGCACATTTGTATGCAAGAACGAACTCCTTTTGAAAATTCTTTCCCATTGAACTGCAGCTTACCAATGTTTGTTTCATGGGAAAGCGGTGAATAATTTGGCTACGACATTCTTAAGAGACTAGAACATACGTGTATTTAATGTTAGAAGAAAAAAAAAGATTTGGAAAACCCTCTCCCCTCCTCTACCATTGAGGTATAGACTTTGTAGTTGAAACTAGCTTTTGTAGATATTGTGACCAGTGTTTTTAATCCATGGAACAACTTTAGAACATGTAATGTTGGACAATGTCATCTTCCCTCACTATAACTAGTTTATGTTGAAGAGTGAAGAAAGGAGGGCTAAGAGCAATATTTCAAAATTTGTTCGACTGAGTCAGAGCAGATCACCCTGTTGTGCAGTATTTTTTGAATTTTCTTGTTAAATATTTTCAGCTTGGGCTTCTACACCTGTGTCAGAACCCAAACCCAAACATTTCAAACGTTGCCAAAGAGAGCTTTTTTGTGCTTTTTTTTTTTTTAATTTAATTGTGTGAATCATTAATCATGTTTATACAGGAGAATGTAGCAAAGGAAAGGGAAGAAAGGATGAAGCCACCAAATGGAGGAGTGCAAGAGGCCATAGAAGATATCCCTCTCTTCTACTCTGATTTGATGCCCCTACTTGTGAGTTTAATGTACGCATCCCTGTGCATCGATAAACACACAAATTAAACACTTGTTTGCTTACACACAGATGAAATTCTACAAGGAATGACCTTTAGAAATGTCTAATTTATTAATTTAAGGGCATTATTGCCAAATTTGTGATTGGAAGTATACTATTTTCTGCTTCTTTCACAATTGTGAGACAAATCAAGTTTTACTTTTTTTTTCTACATTGGAAAAGCTATAATTAGAGTGACTTCTCGATGTTGAGTCTTGAATGTTAAATAGAGGCAATATAGTTATTAATTTGTGTTATAATATAAGCAGTCATATTTGATAGTTGGGAGGTTCAAGGACTAGAGATCAAAGATTTTCTTTTCATTTATACCAAAAGGGTCTTCCACAACATGTGGGGATTTAAGAGGCCTCTATAAAGTCTAACTAGCTGTTCGGCTTGTTTCGGCGTTTCTTTTAGTTGTAGTTTTATTTGGAAATAAGTAATTTCAGAAAGAAAATTTAATTTTGAGTTCATGAAGACTCCTTATCAAATCGATGGCCATTGTACAACAAAGATAGCACACATAGACTTCAATTTTTTTTGCGTGAATTCGAATTTATTTTATGATAATTCTTTATTTCTATAAGAGATCTAAATGTGCCCAAAAATTGGGATCCTATGGATCTCTACTTTTCAATTGTCTATTTGCATGATGTAATAAGTACCCTCTCTGTAGCCCTACTGTTTTTTATTTGCTAAAGTGTCAATTTTATTGAACACTAATATCAATTCTGTTCTCTTTAGGTTGATGATGAGCGAAATATCGGTGAAGACGCATTTGTCTGGTTTAGCAGTGTGATCCCTTTAGCAGCTGATATCTTGAACGCTCGATTTGCATTTGAAACCTTAACAGCTTCAACGACTGGCCGGCTTCATTATCCAGCTTATGACCGGTTTTTCAAAGAAATTGACAAGTAATGAAAGTTATCCTTTCATAAGGTTTATGCAATATTATGATCACCTAAAAGCATGCATCCATCTATGCTTCTCTCTCCCTAGAGCAATTCCCTTATGCAACAATGAAACACGAGTTGTGTGTGTTTAGAAGTGTCTGATGAGGCATTGCAAGAGAGACATCAACCGTCTGAAATTGTACGTGGACATGAAAACAGGTGTTGCAATATGCATCTCTAATGTTCGTTTCTTAGGATTCACAGATACAACATGTTTGCAGTGTACACACGAGTCCATATATTGGACAAACAAGACACTCATGTCCTCATACGAGTCTGGGCTAAAACCATGAAAGATGACTTGGATAGGTTCTTATATCTGTATCCCTGATACAGTCTATGAAATTTTCAAGGGCATATACAATTGTCCATGCACATTTTGGGGGGGTACATAATTTAAAAAAACGTGTGTTGGTATTATCATCATTATCATTTGAGCTTTATTCCAACTATTTGAAGAGAATGTGTGTATTATTTGTATCTCAAAATTTTCTTATTTTGGGATTGGCAATTACGGTATGGATTGTGTGGGCACTTACAAACATCACTTATTTCCATATACAAGACGTGTGTGGATGAGAAGACACATGCTTTGATTCTTGAAACAGATTCTCGTATTCACGTCGTTGAGAGATAATCTCTATAGAGGTCTTCAAGTGCATGTGCGAAGTGCATTTTTGCACAATTGGGAGGTATAATTTTCGTTCAAAAGTCTGGAAAATTGAGGTTTGGAGCATTAAATACTTGACAGAAAACATCTATGGCATGACCTCATGAATTTTAATGTCTTTTTCTTTTGAAGTTGTATTTCATTGTCATCTTAGCCAGGTTTCATTAAGGAAAAATAGAAATAAGTGTCACCTCTGGCAAAATTCTTATAATAAAAATTGTTGGCCCAGGTGCATCAAGTACTTGCAAAAACCAGAAACACCAACATGTGCGGAGTTGGCTGAAGATGAGTTCATATTACATGTAGAGGGAACCGCAATGACCCAAAGAGTGGTACGCCATATTGGCGGCACCAGTTGGCCAGGTAACCCCCCATCTCTCTCTCTCTCTCTC